ATATGATTGGTTAAAAGCGTCCGCGTGGAGACCGTGTATATTCCATATTAGGTTAGTAGGGAGGCGGGGCTTATTTAATTACACGGTTAGTAGTGGAGTAACGTCCCTTTATATAGTAAACATGGCGTCGACGAGAGGTTCGAAACAATTTGCAAGCACAACAAATCAAGAAATTGATGCCAAAAAATTAAATGTGAAAGCCGATAATACCCTGAAAGCAAATAGAAAATGTTCAAATATACTCCGGGAATATCTTCAGGAGAAAGAACAAGATTATGACTTTGAAAAATTTGATTGTGTGCGGCTGAATAAGACTTTGGGTCATTTTTATGTCGATCTACGTAAAGCGGATGGTAAGCGATACAAAGCATCGTCACTGGAGTCCATCAGACAGGCATTAACAGATACCTTAAGGCTCCTGCGTACAGTAAAACGTTTGATATTGTGAAGGATTCTACATTTAATAACAGTTACGCAAACTTTAAAGCCGTGTTGGCAGAATTGAAACGTTTTGGACTAGGTGACATTGAACATTTTCCTGTTATTAATGAAGTGGATCGTGAAACACTGTATACATCCATGTATCTTTCACCTACAACACCAACTGGCCTGGCAAATAAAGTTCAATTTGATGTCAGACTTTATTTTTGCAGAAGAGGTATAGAAAATATGCAGACTTCCGAACATTTGAAAGTCCCTTCTATGTACTGGTTACGTAAATTGCACAAAAAAACATTTAAATTCCGTTTCATCTCCGCATCTAGTAAGTGTTCTACTACCAATCTATCAGTGCTTCTCACTACCTCCCTTACTACTATCAAAGAACTTGTTATTAACTTTTGTAATAAAGCTTATGAAAATAATGGTATTAATTATTTTTGGAGTGTTAAAAATTCTTTAGAGGTTTTGGATAAAATACATGCTTTTGATGGTCCTTTTAATTCTGTTGACAGTTATGATTTTTCTACTCTCTATACTACACTTCCACACAATCTTATCAAGAAAAAGTTTTCATAATTAATTAAATGGTCTTTTGAAAAATCTCATTAAAAATGTATTTGCTGTAACTCGTTTAAAGCCTTTTTCTGTAACGAAAAAGGAAAGTATGCTAGATACACTTACTGGAAATGTGAAGATATGATTGAAGCTTTAAATTTTCTCCTGGACAACATATATGTACGTTTCGGCGATAAAGTGTATCGACAAGTAGTAGGTATTCCTATGGGCACTAACTGCGCCCCTTTAATAGCAGATTTATTCCTGTATTGCTATGAATCTCAGTTTATGACCAAACTCAGTAAAGACACGTCATTGTTACATTTGGTAAATACATTCAACAATACCTTCCGTTATCTAGATGATATTTTTTCGTTAAATAATCCAGAGTTCTCTAAATATACTACCGAAATTTACCCAATAGAACTTACTTTAACTAAATCTAACATAAACAGCAGTAGTTGTCCTTTTCTGGATTTGGACATTTCAATCTCTAAAGGAAAACTCCATACTAAAATTTACGACAAAAGAGACAATTTTTCATTCCCTATTGTTAATTTTCCTTTTTTAGACGGCGATGTTCCTTTGGCTCCATCATACTGTGTTTATATATCCCAACTCGTTCGTTATGCCCGTGTGTGTAGTGATGTCATAGATTTTAACGAACGTAATCAATGCATCACTGGTAAATTATTAAGTCAGGGATTTCGTTACCATAAATTACGTAAAACTTTTGCTAAGTTCTTTCATAGATACAAAGATTTGATTAGTAAATTTGGCTGTACCTGTAGATAACTGATTAAAAATGGTATTTCACATCCTAAATATTACGGTAATGTTGTACTTAAAGCACGGAAATCACTATGTGATCCGTGTAAACTCATCGAACCTTTAAACAAACTTATTAGTAAAGGTTATCTTACCAATGTTGTAATTAGATCTTTGAATATAGTTTACATTGGCACTAATATCGATTTTGTCATCAGCAAATTAAAACAACTAAATTTGTATTCTTTTCAAACGGGAATTATAAAGACACACCCACGTTCATTTTGATCTATAAAGAGATTAAACTCCTAACTGTCCTACTGTCTGTGGATACATTTATTTTTGGCATTGCACAAGTCATGTCTTCTTTGACTGTCCATGACGTTAAAATACTAAATCCCTGGGATGTGTTTTAGTTGATTTTAGTCTCTGATGCATGATTTTTTATTATTACTTGTTTTGGCTTTTAACTAGCTGTCAGTAACTGCGAGTACTCTCAAATCGTACTTTCTTGTTTATTTGACCTGTTGATACTAATTGTAATGCTTTTTTGTTATTTAATGTTATTCAGGGTTATATCTGGTTATACCAGCTTTGATAAGTGTTTGGTATTACTATAAAATTTCACTTCGTACTATGAACATCAAAATTTTTTTATTTTGTAAAAATATTTCCTTTCTCTATTGGAACTGTACACGTATACCTAACAACAAAATTATTTTCATTTACCTGTGTTTAAAGTTATTGCAAATGGCTGATATTTTTGTTCAAGCATATTGTCTTTCTTAAATTGTTTAACATTTCATACCGATATAACATGTTATTTTTATTATTCTTCCCATAGTTTATTTATTTTGTATTTGCATTGTATCATAGGTCAAATTTATTTGTTCAGTGTATGTTTACTCGTGTTAATATGTCCTTTGATTGAGTTAAGCTATTTCAATTGATATTTTATAGTGTGTCTTTCTATGTTGTGATATTACACTATTGTTTCAGAAAAAGGGTGAAGGTTTGGTACCATTAAAACGTTTAAACCCGCTGCATTTGTTTGCACCTGTCCTAAGTCAGGAATCTGATGTTCAGTAGATGTCGTTTGTTGATGTGGTTCATAAGTGTTTCTCGTTTCTCGTTTTTATATAGATTAGACCGTTGGTTTTCCCGTTTGAATGGTTTTACACTAGTAGTTTTTGGGGCCCTTTATAGCTTACTGTTCGGTGTGAGCCAAGGCTCCGTGTTGAAGACCGTACTTTGAACTATAATGGTTTACTTTTATAAATTTTGACTTGGATGGAGAGTTGTCTCATTGGCACTCATACCACATCTTCTTATATCTATGACAAAATCTACGTTCACAATTAAAACCGACAATAAAACAGGACTGAAATATGTAACTAAGGCAAGAGATGAGCTAACAAAGAACCATAGAGAATCAGATAAGGAGCTAGTTTCTGGAGTAATGCCAGAATCACCAGGTGAGTGTATAATAATAAAAAAAAAGGGGGGAGTATCATTAGGCAATCAAAAGGACGAAAAAGATATTAGAACGTAACACCGTACTAATTGTGTATTAAAAATACAGGACGCTTGCTAACTTCATAGCAAATATACAACATCGCCAGACGAACAGTAATAATTATTAAGCAATGATATTCCTGAAAATATAAAACTAAAAACAACAAGTAGTAACCAATAGTTATCAAAGGTACCAATATCATTATCTAATTATAGAGTGAGTCAGGAGCCTGTTATTCATTGTTTGTCGTTTATTGCTGTATATCATACATGTATTTCTCATTTGATTAAATTTATATGTGTCATTTTGGGACCTTTTAAGGTATGATATATATCAATGTAAATACAAGAAATACATTGTATCTACGTCTTCGTTCTTGATGTTAAACCTGAATATACTTAAATGATTTCTCTATATTTCAGGATCTATGTATTGTCATGTTGCCTCATACGAGAACTATATTCGTAGATTACATCCATCAAATGATCGTTTATGGCAGAAACCATTGGATAGTTTTTCTGAAGAAGCTGATGTTTGGTATTGTAATATGCCACTGGGAGAAAAAAAACTAAGTACATTTATGTCAGAACTCAGTAAGAAGTGTAAGTTGTCTGTTGTTTATACCAATCACTCAATACGAGCAACTGGAGCCACAGTTTTATCACAAAACATGTATGGATCTGCGCAAATAATGGCAGTCACTGGACATAAGTCCGTACAGTCACTCACAACTTACCAGCGTGTTGATACTGACGAGAAAATTAAAATGGGTAAAACTATATCTGACAATCTTGTGCAAAGAGCAGTTATTGCTTCCAACCATACATGCCATAGTTCCAATAGTGAGTCATTTATGGAACAAATACAGGATATTGACATTGGGGATATTTTAGGAGAGTTTGATGACAACGGGCCGAAACCCATCCAATACAGGCAAACAACCACATGTATGCAGTCGACAAAACCTCAGAGTCAAATCTTCTATAGCAATGTAACTGTTATACATAACCTGACCATCAACAAGTAGTTGTGATGAAAATATGACATTTGTCATGTTGACATTATCATTTATTTTTCAATTTTGTACACAAAAAATGTGTTGGATGTTGACTTTGGCACTATTTGTCGTTTAAATGTATTGAACATTTTGTTTTAATTAATATTGTTATATCAAGGTTATTGATATTAAATTGTTATTGTTGACATTAGTTTTTTTGTTAAGACCAATGAAAGTAGATTCTTAAAATTGTAGACTTGAACACTTTAATATAAAAATAAGAAGACGTGATATGATTGCAAATGAGACAACTCTAGTCTAAATTCAACAAATAAAGATAGTCGGTAAGATAAATTCGTTACATAGTGTGCTAGTGACCTAATACGATATATACGGGGTCAGAAAATTCCCGAAACCCATATGGAATTTACTGACCCCGTATATATCGTATTAGGTCACTAACACACTATGTAACTAACAGTATGCCTCTCTGTATATCGTAGTTGTAAGCGTATTACATTGTCGGGATCATAATGTTTGTATGGTCAGTATGAATATGGATAAAAACAGATTTTTTTTTAATTTTAAGAAATACCATTGCTAAATACGTATCTGTATTGTGATTTTCTTTTTTTCAACACTTAGTCTTTTTTAAAAGTACCATAAACTCTTTTCTCATAATACCAAATATTAGCTGTGTATATGAATTTCAGTATCAAAACATTGAAATTTTATCATTTTATTCCTTTTAAATAAGATGAAGCTATTTCTGTTTTTCAAAGTATCATCCGCTTATGAATCTTTCACCAGTCCTAGGGCAACCGTAATATTTACCACAATGACCATTCTGTATTCTGTAAAAATAAATCAAGGTTTATTTGAAGAAATGTCCATTGTATGAAATGTATTGATTTATCTTGTTAATGTGTGCGATAAGATTTTGTTAGTGATTTCCATATTTGTTATATACGTTTCGTTTATACATTTAATACGGATTTAAATAAGAGCATTCCTCTTTTTTCCCTAATCCTAATATTTGAATTACCTGTATATTTTGTATTAATTTACTCTTGTAGCAAAACTTAACAACATATTATTACCCTAACCTTTACTTGATTAACTTTTGAATATATTTCCTTCGTATATTATGTCAGAACGGTTAATTTTGTTATGTTACTGTAATTGTCTATAAAGACAGATATGACAACTGTTAAACTAGACATTAATTGTTGATTTGTTAATAGTTACGGTTTCATTGTTCTGTCTTTTTTTTTAACTAAAGTTACAATTTAAAAAAAGAAAAAAAAAATTAACTGTATCAATATGGTAAAAAGCAAAGTTCTTGTACTTTTAAAATATATCATAATTTTACTTTGTTGCAAAGATCTTATTCCATAAATTTAGCCAATGCAATTAATTAATTACAAAAATGTTTATCCTGTAAAAATTGTTATATGAAAATAGAAATATTTGCGAACTAAACGCTGAACGAGTTCATTTTTATTCTTAGCAATGCAACAAAAAGAAAAAAATATTTGATTGTCATTTGATATATTTCGCAAGCTTTTCAAAAACATCGAATATGTTCAAGAACAAAAAAATAGTGCCTTCTTAAAAAAAGAAAATCAGAATTTGGTAAAAGGCTTGTGTGTCTTAACATGAAAAGCATTTCATGTCTTAAAATGCTGTGATATTTCAAATTAATTAACAAAAAAGCAATATGAACGGGAAGTCAACATATGGCCGATATGCCTATTTTTTAACTTTTAACGTCAATTTAATCATTATAAGGCCGACTTGTCAGGCACAATATATTTCAAATAGCCTATAAGCACCTTATAAAATGATAATTTGGCTTTTGATATAAGTTTAAAAAACGCCATGCCGATAAAACAAGAATTTATACATTCAGAGTTAATGTTGTATTTGTTTATTTAATATGTTGATTCAAAATCCCTCTTTGAATATATTCAATTTGTTCACAACTTTTTATATTCAAAGAATCAAGAAATTTTTTTTTATTAAAAACACTGGAAGACAGTGTGGCATATTTATGTGTCGGTAAACTGCTGGCATAATCACGAATAGTATTCATAGTTTTGAAATGTATGACTAACTAATGAAAAAGTTCATCTCGGAAAAATGAAACCTGTTTATATCTAATATTATTAATTTAGCTTCAAATATCAATTTATTCATAATAAACCAGTGTCAGATTACTACATGCATATGATTTATTGGAGTACAATAAACAAGTGTATAAGTAAATAAAAAAAGAAAACAGTTTTCATCAATCCTGTTATAAATAAGAAATTAAGAAAAATTCCAACTCACCCCTCCACCGAAATGTCTTTTAAACCCTGTATGTTCTCTGCTATGTCTTCCATAGGCATCTGTAATTGTCATTATATTGATTAATGAATCTATTTTTATCATCAGGGTTGGTACAATACGATAGATAAATCATTTGCTTTCTGAGAACAATTTCATTTAGCACAAACAGTGGGAACATTTATTTGCTGAAGAATTACTTTCATCAAAGTCTGAACTAACAAATTTTTGGGGAGAGGATAAACGATAGGTCCGGTAGTTTTTTGTAAATACCTTTACAATATGTAAAACGCATAAAAAACCTTAGGCCACCGAATAATATTTTAGTACATCATACAACTTTAAAACAATGAAAAATTAAAATTTATTTTGTGTAAATATTACAAAGTATGTTTGACCTTTTTATGTATAACTACTGTATTATTGTATTTCCATTGCTTGTTTGATTTGATATGTTCTGATTTCAGATAAACATTGGATATTGTTATCCCAGCTTTGTATCCTTTCATTGAAAACTCGTTAATTTGAAGAAATTATTGGTTACTAATTTGTATAATTTGTATAATGAACAATGAAAATTAAAATATCATATTTGTACTTTTAAAAAAAAAAAGAAAAACGGAAACACTATCATTACACAATCATACGTCACTGATAGGCATTTAACACTTTTGTAAAAAAAAAGACGATGAACAGGAGTATATAAAATATAACACTCATTTTACAACAGATTGAACAAAACGAAGCCAACCAAAACCTGCGACCGACATCTTTAAAACATTACTTTAATAACACATATGACTTGTAGGAGAGTTCCGGTTACCATAGGTAACTTGATGAAACACTTTACTGAGCTGTAGCTGTAAAATAGAGGGTGAAGATACCAAGCAACACGAACCAAACCAAAATCCGCGGATGATCTCATGTGCTCGGGAAGATAAGCAAAATTTGCTCCACGTGTGGCATCCGTCTTAAAAAAAATCGGCGATAAGTTTAATTCAGTGATGTCACATTTGAGAACATGAAACAGAGAACGGGATTGTTACTACGACAATTGGAAAATTTCCGCTTGATCTGTGGAACTGATATTCCTACATGGTAATGTTACAATGTGTAATAGTATATAAAAATGTCAAAAAGAATTACCATGAAAAAAGAAATCGAGAAGATTGCAAACGAAGCATTTTAACCAATGTTGCTGCTTTTTCTACTTACCAGCTGGCATTGTAACCGAGGCCACAATCAACAGAGCAACAAGGACTATGATGCCGAATAACTTCATGTCTATCTGCAAAGGTTGTCTTTTAATACTTCACTTTTACGTGTGCACTTCTCGAGGTTAATATTTATATTCATGTGAAAAGTCAGATTTGGATCTTTATATGTTTGCTTACATATTCATCTACATAATCATGTAATATATTATGTTATATTACATAATTAATTGTTTATTATTTCCACAACCTGACATTTATAAAAAATAAGGTTACAGTATTTAATGCTGTGTACATAAACTAATTATGATGATGGTGATGAATGGCTGCTTAACGTCCAGCGGCAAATTAGTATGCATATTCAGGACAAGAACATATTAATGTAATATGGATATTAACCCTGCTTTGTACTAGACCGACATGCTGAGATGGATTTTTAACGTGCTAGTTCACAAGGCAACAGTTAGCAAGAAGATATGTCACCTTACTCGGGCACATTATTCTGACTCCCAGACGACCAGTCTTTGCTCTTACTTCTTAATGCCGCGTGCTTAGCGGAGAAGCAGCAAAAAACAATTTTAAAGTCTTTGGTTTGACCCGGCCGGGGTTCGAACCCACGACCTCTTGCACTCGAGTCAAACACGCTGCAACTAGACCACCGAGGCGGTTTGAATAGATTAATTGTTTGTTGCATTCTCGTTGCACTTTCACAGCTGCTTATATTTAAGATACTGGTCGTGGGGCATTCCAATACAGGTTTAAGTGAAGTGTGGACATACACATCACCTTTGTGGACTAATAGGAAGTTATTCAATACCATAGTCCTTGATTCTCTGTTGATATTGGCGTCTTTAAAGTTGCACTTTGGTTATTTCGTAAAGTTATATAAAACTTTGCAAATGGCACTGAAATATATGAAACATTATATATTACTTTATCCATCTATTTATTTATTTATGAAAGAAAGAAAATCACTGCATTATTGTCATTCAATACTTTAAAGTGTAATATATAAGGAAAATATTAATTAAAAGTCCACGGAGGCTAACTAGAACATCAAAATATAAATTTGATTAAATTCCATTACAAGTATTGATGTATGAGTTTTGCATTGAATATTTTATTTTAGTCTCCTAAGAATTTTTTTTTTATCAATATTGTTTGAAGACAACTGTCATATGCCTGACTTTGTACAAGCATTTCCTTATGTAGAAAATGGTGGATTAAACCTGGTTTTAATGATAGCTAAACCTCTCACTTGTATGACAGTCGCACAGAATTCCATTATATTGACAACAATTTGTGAGCAAAACAAAAAGACATTTAAAAACCAATCGTTCAGAGAACAATTGAAGGTCTCTCCACTCAAATTTACTTAAGATAAGAAAATTTTGAGAAAAAACAGTAAGTCCGGGCTTAAATGATAGCTTATCACATACTGATTTTGAAAATACAATGTTTGAGGCACTTTTTCCATCAATTAAGGGAGATAAAAAGCCACTTCCGGTTAAATCAAAGTCACTTCCGGTGTCAAATAATAGCTTGCTTTATTCTGATTCTAGAAATATATAGTTTCCACATACTTTTGCTTTAAATAAGGGAGATAAATTGCTACTTTCGGTTTAAAAAAGGTCACTTCTGGTTGGCATTTTCAAGGTCATATGTCTACTAACCTAATGCAAAAGATCCCAAGGCTTTATCATGTATAAATATGAATTTACAGCAAAGGTCAAAATCTAGAACGCCAATTTTACCTTGCAAGGACCTCAAATCAACCGTTAGTCTCCACTATGTAAGGGAAATGAGTTCTATCCCAATACAGCTTATTTTTAGTATTAGAGGGGAGGAAACCCCCCATCAAATGTCAACGCACCCTTTTAACCAAAATATGTACGACACGTCACAAATATCAGTTTAGTAAAAATATTTTGTCGATATCTTATACGGTTTCTGAAAGGAGGAATGTTAAGCCAAAAAAAATAAATTTAGAATCTGACCTTGACCTTGACCCCATTTTCTTTTTGGTGGACCAAGGACATCAATTCAAAAGTCCCTATGTCTCTATCACTTATGGTTTACCAGATGAGTTACAATTACATTTCACTTATGTTAAATACAGAAGGGGAAATAACTCTCATATGGAGTCTCCGGACTGCTTCGGTCAAAATTATTCTTAAGATCCTGAGGATATAACGAGCAAATTGGTGAAATAATTTTGTCGTAATCTTTAACAGTTGCGGAGGAGATGCGCACACAAGAAAAACAGTGTTTGGGGGGATAACTCTTACGATAAAAAGTGTTCGGGTAAACAGGGTCAGTCTCAAAAGCGCAATAACTGTTCGATATCATATGCAAAAAATCTAAGCAACATCTTGCGAAACCACTATACACCGCAAGAAAAAAAATGTGCGGAAGAAAAAAATATAAATCAGTTGTTTTAAAAACAATTGTTTACGGTCTTTCCCCTTCCAAATGTGGTTGGTTGGTTGATTAACTGATTAGTTGGTTGTTTGATTGGTTGATTGATTGGTTGGTTGGTTGGTTAAATGACCGATTAAATAAACAAATGGAATTGGGTCTCTTGGAGAAAAAGAAAGAAATAAAATCTTGGACTCCCCATTAAACACATGGGACCGAAACATGCATGATTGGTTGGTTGATTGATTGGTTGGCTGATTAAAAACATGGAACCGAGCCACTAGGAACGAGCGGAAAAGGAATTGAGAGCCTAGTTCCCCTGTTTAAACACTGGGACCTAGCCTCTAAGAACACGCGAAAACGGGTCCGTGCAATATGTTTATTTATATTTAAATTATGATATTTGTAGGAACATGCAAGGATTTAAACATCCCTCCAAAACATATCCTTGCATCTTCCTTTATAAATGTTTTTTTATAAGGCTTCCCGGAATTTGTGTCTTATTTACTTATTGTGTGTGCATTTTATTCAATTTTGTATTTAAAGGAAATCGAACCTGACCTGCATGGATCTATTGTTTTTAATCTTCCTGCACATTTCTAATATTCTTTTCGAAAAGGGGGAAACCCCTATTTTATTTTAGGTTGCACGCGCTGAAGATGGTGTGATTGTGGATTTTGACGTCACCAAGCTGATATACACAAAAATTAAAATTTCTTTGCAGAGGAGGATGTCGTCAAGACCAGACCTGTGTATAAAGATTGTGCTAACGGATTTAATTTTCTTTCATTTACAGGTTGATGATGTTTGATCGTTGATCCTTGAGTGTTCGTGCAATACATTCCTTAGTGAAAATTTGTAATGTATAATTCAACGACTAAAGATTTTATTTTTTTCAGGTAATTAATGTCTGATCGTGCATGTTTTTTTTTCGTACACATGTTTACGGGAGCACAGATTTGTATTTTAATGCATGTTTAGAAATTTAATTCCAGGATTTCATTAATATTTACGAACTAGGGAGCGATTTCTTTGTCATTGATTTTTAATTTCTCAGTCCAGGTCAGGGCGTCATGCTGTCTGCACGTGTTTTTATAGAGCAAACGGGAATATAGTTTCTTGATTCATTTACAGGTAAACTGATGTCCAATCCAATCGCTGACCACGAATCTTCATGCATTGCATTGCATATAAATGAATTCGAGCAGCTTTTTGCAAGCAGGATTTCTATTTCAGAAAATGTACGGGACTAAGGCGATTTTCATTTAATAGAATTGGGATTCCTAAAAAAAAAATCAGTTGGAAAAGGGGGACGGGTAGGTGTCGAGGGTGGCGGACCTTTGTTGATTAATTGAGATAAGATACATGTATACATCATGAAAGCTGCAAAGTTTGAAGCTATGGATAGTTAATTTGTTCATATTACCATTTCAGTGGCATTGAACCCCAAAGAAAATGACGCGTTACATTTTGAAAAAAACTTTCCAGTTACAACATGTCGCGACTAACTTTCTGGTAAAAAAATGTTTGTCGATATCTATGACTCCTTTTGAGTAGAAGCGATATGAAGTGAACTGCAAAATTTAGAACATGACCTTGACCTTTGACCTTGACCTCATTTTTTAAGTTAGGACCCAAGGACCTCAAATAAAAAGAATCTAGGTTTATACGGCTTACAGTTTATGAGTTACAAAAACATAACGACAAGTTTATTTGGTAAAGGTAGATAACTCCTATAAGATTTCACCGGATTGCTTGGATCCAAATCAGCCAAAAATTTCTGAGGATGTAACAAACAAATATGAAAAAGAATTTTGTCGTTATCTTCTTTGGTTACGGAGGAGATACAATAACAAGAAAAGCAGTGTTTGGGGAGATAACTCCTACAAAGAAAAGTATTCGGTTAAACAGGGTAAATTTTAAAGGCGCAAAAACTGTGCGATATCACATACCAAACATCTAAGCGACATCTTGGGAAACAAAAGTTACACGGAAGAAGTTGGCGGAAGAAGATAAAAAAAAAATTAAAAACCAATTGTTCAGAGCACAATTGAAGGTCTTTCCACCCGATACAATATATTTTGATGTTAAAAATAATAAAACTCGGTTAGAAATGTAATTTTCAGTGCCAAATGATAGCTTATTGAACGTTGAATTTATAAATACATGGTTTCTACACATTTTTGTTTGAAATAAGGGAGATAAGTTGTTACTTCCGATTTGAAAAATGTCAGATTCGGTCTCATCTGATAGTTAACTTGACACTGATTCCAAATATATATGGTTCTATGTACTTTTACATTAAATGAGTACAAAAAATGGCTACTTCCGGTTTACAAAAGGTCATTTCCAGTTGTTTTCTTCAAGGTTATATGACTTGCAACTTAATGCACAAAGTCCCATAAGTATATTATGTATAAATTAAAAAATAAAACAAAGGTCAAAATCTAGAACGTCAAATCAAACTTTGACCTTGACCCCAATTTCATGGTCATAAAACAATGGTCTCAAATCAAAAGACTCTAGGCCTCTACTATATATTGTTAATGAGTTATATTACCATACTACTAATATTAGATATAAAAGGGGCGTAAACTCCCATTAAATGTATCCGTACCCTTTCAACTAAAATTTATGTGTTACGACATGTCGCAACTACCAATTCTGTAAAAATATTTTGTCGATATCTGATAAGATTTCTGAATATTAGTGATAACAAGCCAAATCAATATTTTGAACATGACCTTGACCTT